ACAGCTCTCAGATAGGGATCATCTCTGAAGGAAAAGGAAAGTAAACTCCATTTCCTTTGTGAGTGACAATGACAGTCACCTTTAGATGAATTAGTGATCTGCTCTGGAGAAGGACCCCTCCTGTGCTTGCAGGCCCAGAGGCCCACCGCTCGCCCAGTCCTCTATTCCTAGGGGAACCCTGATCTGCTTGGCGGTCTGTTATGACACTGACAACTTACTGCAAACTACTCTAGTTCCTTGACACTCACACTTTGTCACAGTACAGCAATGTCTGTCTTAACCCTATTCACCAGCCTTGGGTCTTAGGGGTGGAGACCCCAAATCCTCCAACAGAATTATCTTTCAGAACATAATTGTGTACTATTAGTACATATCCTAGGAGAAATTATGGCAATCCCCCCAAATAGTTCTGCAAATGTCTTGGGCATTATTCTTGGATAACTCGTACATATTTGAAACTTATCGCGTCCAAGCGGAATTCCTGATTTTTTCCTCCGACCTGACCGTCCTTGTCAGTTAAAGGCAGCTGCATATTTCTGTTTGGGGTCGGTCTCTCACACCAGACGCCCCACCAAAATCCAGCACTTCCCAGCACCTCCACCACCACCCTCCCACACCAGTTGCTTTGCTCACCTAGAATCAACGTCGCATCACAAGCAGGGTAACCTCAAAATAAAAGGTAAACTAATTTCTAAGTTTGAACGAATGACGGACCGCTCTCAGCCACGCTTCTCTACTGCCCTCTGGTGGCCATTTCTCATATTGCTGCCGTTCTAAAAAAAAGATGGTGTTCACCAGGCATTTACAGAAAAAAACTAATTGTGGTACTAAATACGGTACTTCGAACAGTGTTTGCGAGCACATACACATGCACATAATTTGCCTTTGGAGGGTGTAGTCTTAGTGTTGACAGACAGCCCGGAAGTGTAGATTTGGTGGCAGTGCGTGGTGTGGCCCAGCTAGGTCAGAAGTCGCCCTCACCGCCACCATCACTCTCATCTCCGTCACACACACGCTCCCCTCCCCACCCCCCACCAGACCTGGAGCTATCAGACAGTGTGGACTCGAAATGGAGGCTAACAGAATCTGCAGCTAGTGGAACGGATTAGCTACAAGACCAAATATCTGTACCGAGTGTTTCATTTTGCAAAGAACCGTCACAAATACTTTATTTTAGTTTTATTTATTTAATTTTTTATTTAGCTGAGCCATCCTGCCACCTTTTGGCAGCTCAGCGGCAGCTCAGCTCGGGCTGGGCATTGAACCGCTGTTGCTTAGAGCTCAAACTCTTGAGTGAGTTTTTAACCAAATGAGCCACTTGGCCGGCCCACAAATACTTTATTATTGAAATGTTGCAATAGCCTTAAGAGGTAAGTGCTATTATCATCCTTTAGTTTACTTTGTTTTTCAAATTTTTAATACAGGAAAATACAAAAGGTAATATAACACCCACATACCTGCCACTCCAAACAAAAGCTAATATTTCTGTCACATATACTCCACATTTTTACTGAAAAAAGACTCCACAGATGAAATGGAAGTCCCCTTTGTGGCCCTCCCCACAAATGTATCTAATCTTGACAAAATAGCTGTTCTGGACACAAGTTCAATTGAACTTGACAAAAACCAGCATAGATTAAGAGTTGGCTGGCATTTATCTAATTCCATCAAGAAGGGTTATGGACCAACCCTTCTGACACCTTATTCAAGGATGGTTAGGAGTGCTCTGTCCTGAGTTCCTTCCAGGTACCGAATGGTCACCTGCTGCAGTTGTACTTGAATGACAGCAGTTTATCATCTCCTTAGAGCCACACTCCCTTTGCCCAAGTTCCTGGCTGACACTGCTCCACTGTCTTCTCCCAGTAAATGTCCTGGAAAGTTGGAGTCACGTGAATTCTTCCTCTTGTAGGCGACTTACTTTTTTTGCCTTTTCCATGTGTCTCTAATGTTGCTAGTTTGTCTTTCCTGGAAGCCCAGTAACGTCAATAGGATATGTCTATTGATCATTCTGCTTCCATTTTTTTCTGAAATGCAAGGTACCCTTTTAAACCAAAGAGTCAGGTCTTCCTTTATTTTTATTCAAGCTTTCCTTTTCATGTCTTTGAACTTGTAGTTCTGTCTTCTTCAGGAACACCAATTATCTACATGACAGTTGTCCTTTGTTCTGCAGACCTCTCAGCTTCCCCGATACCTTCCGCTCTCTCTTCTTTATCCACTTCATTCTGGACAATTTCTCAAGCCTGTCTTCAGTGTCCCTACCAACCCGTTCTCTTTTTGCCCTCTTCAAACTGACTATCATTTGTGATGTTTTTCCTTGTCTTCCACATACTCCCTGAGATTTGATGGATCTTTTTCATCTCCTTGGTTGTAGGACCACCTCTTCTATGATTCCTGGTAACCCTTTTCTGAAGTCTTGTTTTTTTGGGGTTTTTTTTTAAGTGTACAGAAAAGAACGTGTTTGCAGCATTCTGTTCCCTGGAGTAATTCTCCTGAACTATATGTTCTTTGCATGCCTTCTATCTGCTCTTGTTCCTGGTCCTGGATTGTCACTCCTCCTTTTGTCCTCCAGGCCACTGGCTTGCTGAAGAACTGTGCTGGAAGGGCCGGCCGAGTAGCTCAGTTGGTTAAGAGCTCACTCAACAGTGTGAGCTCTGAGCAACAGCGGTTCGAGTCCAGCCCGAGCTGAGCAGCCGCTGAGCTGCCAACAGGTGGCAGGATGGCTCAGCTAAAAAAAAAAAAANAGCAACAGCGGTTCGAGTCCAGCCCGAGCTGAGCAGCCGCTGAGCTGCCAACAGGTGGCAGGATGGCTCAGCTAAAAAAAAAAAAAAAAGAACTGTGCTGGAGAACGTGGGGCAGTAGGGAGCTTCCAGTGAGACATGCTGCCCCCAGACATTCTGGGCACTTTTCAGTGGCACTCGCCAGCCACAGGCCTTAGGTGAAGATTTGGTGTGATGAGGGGTACAGCTTCCATACCAGGAGCTGTGAACAGGTCGGCTGAACTTCAGCTGCTTCCGACAACCACTGACAGCCAAACACAGACCTACAGATGATGATGGAAAGAGTCTCATCAAATTCTCAGATGACTTGTGCACGATGTGATCAAAAGTGCAACACTAGGGCCGGCTGAGTGGCTCAGTTGGTTAAGAGCTCGCTCAAGAGTTTGAGCTCCGAGCAACAGCGGTTCGAGTCCAGCCCGAGCTGAGCAGCCGCTGAGCTGCCAACAGGCAGCAGGATGGCTCAGCTAAAAAAAACCCAAAAAACAAACAACAACAACAACAACAACAACAACAAAAAAGTGCAACACTAGTTACTGACGACGAGGCCAGCCATGGGTGAAGCCTGGTTTGTCCTACGATCAAATACTGGACTGAGGAACACAAGCCAGCAGGAAAATAGCAGAAAACTGTCAGCATCCAGAATCACATGATGCGGCAGTTCTGAGATACAAAGAGACCGGTATCTACAGGTACAGTAAGCGGAAGATGGCTGCTTTTCACATGGCCCAAAAGCTCCAATTCTCAGGTCCACAAAGGCAGGGAGGGGCTTAGGATCGCCTGTTACTGTCATGGGGGGCTGGAGGACCAGGTTCTCCCCAACCTTCTCCATAACCTGTCATTCAACTGTGCTAGAAGGCGCCTGCATGTGCGTTAACCAAGGAAGCTCTACCAGCATTCTGACAATTCTGCCTGAAGAAATGTCACAGGGGGATGGCCTTTCCCGTAGCTCCGCTCCAGGTAAAATCGTGGCATCTATGCAGCCGGGCGTGTGCTCCAGGGATGACGGCGCTCCTGGACTGCACAGAGTGTAAAGATGCCCATGGTAACCATGCAGTCGGAACAAAGTGCCAGGATCAGAGCGACAGAAATGCTAGAGCTCAGAGGACGCCGACGGAGGTGACAGGGAGCATGAGCCATCAATGACCACTTACGCCAGCGCAGACTGGGAATCAAGTGGCCTGTGGACTTCACCTTTGCCATGTTTTTCCCCTAGGGCCAGAAAGAAGATGGACCTGGAACTTTGAAAGTGAGGAAATGGAATTTGTAGACTCCACGTTACATATCATACGACATTAAAGCCCAGAATAAAACACCCAAATACTCAATCAGACAGCTCTTAATCCACGAGAAACAGCAGCCACGTCCCCAGAACGGAGGGAGGCACCATGAGCCTGTTTCAGCTCAGTGGGAACTGCAAACGGGGCCGCAGCTTTGGACGGGTCTAGACAGCTGCCCGTCTTGCCCTCACGAGCAGCCAAGTCCCTCAGAAGGCAAATGCACTCCTGACCGTGTGTTAACTACTGCTGTCCACATCGAGGCGTAAAAACCGAGGGCGGTCCATAAGAGAAAAAGCAGCCCTTTGAGCATGTCTTTGGGGAAGGAAGATTCTGGTAAAATAACGGCTTGAACTAATCCCATGTGCCCTCTTGAATACCTCACTGATTGTGGGACATCTGGTCAGGGGGAAGTGAGGGGGCAGGGAAAGGAACCCGTGTGTACAAAGGCCCGGGGCCGAGGCATGGCCTGGCGTGTGACAGAGGGACGAGGTGCTGGGAGTGAGCAACTGGGGACGTGGGGAGGACGTGACTCGGAGGGGAGAGGCTGCTGCAAGAGGCCCACAGAGAGGACTCGGCCAGGACACTGTCATGCGGATCCCGGGGAAGTTCTGACCAGGAGCGACACGGTCTGAGGCAGGTTTCACAGAGCCTACAGTGGCTGCGTGGACATGGCCGGCCTTCCCATGTCCTGCCCTCAGCCCCTACCTCTGGAAGAAATGACGACTCAGTTGCTGACAGTGATCTCTGGAGACAGACCACAAAATGCCAACTCCCCATTTCACTGCTTTCAGTCAACCAGGAAGGCACTGTACCCCACCCATGTCCATACACAGCACCCACATCTCTACGGCGTCACCGCTCTGTGACACTCTGGTCATTTGTACACACAGCCACGCTCCCCACTAGGCTGTGAGTCCCTCTCACAAACAACAGAGGCACACATCCCCACGGTGCTCATGCTCAGTCTTTATTAGCCAGAGTCTGCGTCCGAGGAAATACACAGCTGACCAAGGGCACCCCGTCACCACTTCGCTCCTGCATGCAGGCTGACAGCACTGCCACCTGGGGTGGGAATTTCTGCAGAGCAGCCTCAGGTACAGAGAGCTCGGCGGGAGGCAAGGCCACTCTGCAGAGGACAGGACACACAGGGGCCGGATGAGCCAGGCAACCCGGAGCAGCAGGTGTGGCACTGAGGCTCCGCCCACCAGCCCTCCGGCCCTCCCAGTGGCCCACCCCACACCCGCCCACCTGTAAACAAGCACACAATGGGAGGGCCGTAGGATCCAAAGTGGGGGACAAGGCTTAAGCGCATGAATGGAAGGAGAGGTGAGCACATCTGCAGCACCGGAGTGGCGTCCACAGCACAGCAGAAGCCTGTGAACTCCGAGAACTGCTCCATCCTGGGGTGTGAGGGACGCCGACACAGGACGCCCCCACTAGGAGTGGACCGCCCGGCTGACAGGCTGCTTTTCCGTGAAGAAGCTTTTCAGCAGCAGCACCTGGCTGACGCTGACCACAAACAGGGTGATGGTCTCGCCAAGAGACCAGTAAGAGACCCGGCTATTCAGGTCCTCAGCCCGGGCCCGGTCCTGGGCCTCCCGGAGCCGGTAATGCGTCTGGGAGTCCACCACCGTCCTCAGGGCCTCGTGGATGGTCACGCAGGCGGACTCCATCTGGGCGGGAAGAGAAGAGCAGTCACACAGCTACCCCTGAGCCAGAGAGTGGGAGCAGCGCACAGCACGGTGTTGTCGACGTGCCAGGCCACGCCTGCCCAACAGCGACTGTGTCTGTGCTCCGGGTGTGGCTTAACCTCACGAGCAGCCTGACCGAGGCTCAAAGGGGCTAAGTGACTTGCCCAGAGCCACAGCTGGTAGGTGGCAGAGCTGGGAACAGAGTCCTGAGCCTGTGCGTTCAGGCCCTGCCGCCCTGTGTGCTCACAAAGGCACATCCATTGTCACGGAAAGGGAAGTGGGGACTAAACTAGGAAGGAACCCAATACACCCGTGTGACCTGGACTCAGGCCACGGTGTTTCTACAAGACTCCCTGGCTCTCCTATGACCATGACACAGGGAGTCAGCAAGTAGTAGCATACTTGTATCAATCAGCCCGGTGAGCCCTGGAGGACCAGTTACTGCAGGAGGGGCTGGGGACTCCGGAGAGACACCTGGACAAATAAGACTGCAAGAATTTCAAACCATGCTGCGTCTCTTAATCCCAAACTTCCACTAATTCGTTCATTCTGATGTACACTTGCTAAATGTCCACTTCTCAGCCATGCACTGTGCGAGGCCCATGGAGCTGAGAGATGAGTCAGTCAGACATAGTCCTGGGTCTCAAAAAGCTCAGTTTAAAGGTGAACGTAATCAGTGTAATGAAAAGAGCCACCAGCAGAGGGTGTACAGAGTCAGGAACACCCAGGAGAAAGCTGCTGATCCTGCCTCAGGAGACAGAGGAGGCCTGATGGCGAGGCAGGGATGAGGGAGGAGGAGCGTGAGCAGGGGGAGCGGGGGAGGAGGGGGAGGAGGAAGAGG